TTTAGTTAACTTTTTTTTTTTAGGTGTGAATGAAATGAGGGCGTAAACGCATCCTCAATAATAAGTGCAAATAACCTTTCACAGCAAGTATTTTATCACATTGTTTACCAATTTAAAGTAGTACATTTGATATTTAGAGCGGTCACCCAAACTGCACCTGACCTTTAAGACGGAGAAGTTTAAGAGGCCACACTAGTGCTGATATAAGTATAATAAAATCCATAGAGACTTTAAAAGCCGAGATAATGTATCAATGGGCTTTCTATGATAACCATTGCGTAGCCGGGGATTTGCAAATCGCCATTAAGTCATATCATTCGATGATAGAGGCGCCAGGATAAGCGGAGGATAAGGTCATCAGAACCCTTGCTGTTTTCCTTCAAAATAAATCCCTGCAAGCCAAAAACTTCTGAATGCTGATACAAATGTATTATTGTTTTGATTGGGAAAGCATGTCTTGAGATTCATGTTATCCAGCGTGTCAGGTCTGATTTACAAATCGCTCTTCATAAAATCCGTGAAAGAAAACACAATCTGGCTCGTCGAGAAAACAATGAGTCATATTTTGTGTTTAAGTTTTAGTATAAACATAACGATAGCTCCATCTTCTACTTCGAGAGAGACATAAATACTAGAGCCACATGGGGCACTCAACCATTAACAAAATTGGTTAAATAGACATTATTTCTTATGAATCATGTCTCCGTAGAATAAATGCCTTAAAAGGGCTTGGGAAGTGTTTCACCCTGGCCTAAACCCCTGCAGTCGTTATTGCATTTCAAGGAATTATTCACTGGCTATTAACTACACCCGGGTTAAGAACGAGGACAGTGAATAGAAATACCTAAGAGCAAACCCACATGGCAAAGAAACAGATCATGCAATACCTTTAAATACATGAAACAGGAGTGGCGCCTCTGTACGTTCTTACTGCGGAGCGCCAGGAGTGTCAAATCTGACAGACATGAGCGCTATTACAAATTACGGAATACTGTGCATCGGCGATGGTGTCCAAAGAAGTATAGATTTAAAGAAGTCTTTCCAAGTTGTACTCCAACTTTAAATGTCAACTCATTTCGAAAGGTGGTGGTTTGTAGTGTCTTACAAGTGGTCCTCATCTTGTTCCAAGTTGCTGTATCTTTTACGGAGACAAATCACACTCTTTTAATGTCGTTACAACAGATGACTTGTTTAAACAGCTTTCGTTTTTTTTCAGCAAGAAGATGAGAATCCATGATGAAGGTAATGACTGTGTTTAATACACAAGTTAGTTCATCGACCAGGAGGAGATGGGATGGAGGGGGGGGGCATGGAGGGGGCGACACCCTATTAAAAACATATGTGGATAAAACTTTCAACTTTCTATGCAAGGGGAAGGGAATAGTCTGGTGGGGGAGGAGGGGAGGATATAGGGTATGAAACTCCATTCAAAGACTTTTTTGGGTAAAGTCCTCTAAAAAGAAAAGACCATTCTGAGTCATACATTACGAAGAATGAAAAACACGTATATGTATTAGTCTTTTTTGTGTTGTAATAAAATGAACAGTCGTCCATTGCACCACAGTGGCATTACCAATTCAGCTAATTGAAATTCCTAAGAATAATGTGATTACAAATTTAAGAATTTTTTGTCCGACACACATGTCTGATTTCGTTTAAACTTTAACCAGACTACATCACTGATTTTTTTTTTTTTGCTTTCTGTTATATCAGTCGCTTTTAAGATTTGGTTTCCCTTAAAGGGATCGTTTAACAATGTTAAATCTGAGATGCACGGCCCTACGTGGTATCAGTGTCTGTGATACGGTGTTATATTGAAGCCCTAAAAAAAAATTGCGCTTCAAAATGATCAAGAAGTGCCTCAAAAAAGTAAAAACCTTTGAGTGACCGGTTTTTACCATACTCGTTTTCCCCGAATAGACTGTTGTGTTATGAAAACCGTTTGGCAAACGCAAAATTTGATTTCGATTTTCAATCATAAATATCTTGATAATCTGACAAGCGATCGGCTTTTAATCATGGGGTTCCTAACTGACCTAAAGGTTTATAATTATCATTGCAGCATGAGCTAAATCAAGGATTTTTTAAAAGGATCTATTAAAAGACAAAGTTACCGGATCCCTTTAAAGGAATGCAAGGACAAGCAATCAGGATATCGCAACCTTGTATTCACCAACACTTGCTCGCCTGCTCGGTGAATTAATGTTATTCCATGATATGCATGACTATAGTGTTGCAAACGGCGAATGTAATTCCATAATACGTGGACCACTTTATACAATGCATTTCATTTACACATATTTTGTTGACAAATCATGAATCTTATATTCACTTCATGAACTTCATATCCACTATGTATTTTCCCCATTAACGCAGCTCTCATAATTAAATCACCAAACACTGTCATACATACCACTTCTAACACAGTTTCATATCTAGACACCAAACCAGTAGAAAATTTGATTTGATACAGAACGACCTACTTTACACATTTCAGCAGAACGCAGTGTAAATTCACACCATGTACGGTACGATGGAGGCTTCCTAGATAGCTTAAATATGACAGGTATGAGCTTTATATTTGCTTGATTAGTAATATGGGGAGTGTTTCACAAAGACTAAGATCGACTTGAAGTTGGACTTAACTATGGCAGGCCATTAATACCACTGATTGCCCACACCATTATGATGTTTAGATAATATTTTTTCTTCATTAATGAACTATCGAAAAATGTAAATCGATTTGTGACCATGATTTGTACGTCCCCTGAGAGACCAATGCCAGTGAATGGTGCTAGCAAACAGTGGCATGAACGGCCTACCATAGTTAAGTCCAACTTAAAGTCGATCTTAGTCTTTGTGAAACACTCCAATGGTTAGGGAAAAATATTCTTCGAAAAAACGAATGATTACAGATATTCTATTATGTGAATAATCAGCCCATACAACTTATTATATTTCAATTACATCCTTTCTTTAGTTATTTCAACCATTTGTGTGGGCCTGTAGAACCTAAACCAAATCCCGTATTCATAATCTGTTTTTAATGTGATGTTTCTCTTCAGTTTCTCTCTTACTATCTTTATTATGATGCTATCCAACTTTTTTCTCACTGTGTCTGTAAAGTTATGTAATATGTCAAAGGATTCTCGTTTGCAGAAAACCATTCTTTTAGATTTCAAGCTATTAAAGCAAAAAGAAAATAATACTGAACAAAGATTAAACTACAATCAATATCTTAGTGAGAATTTTACATGGGGATCTGATAAAATGTTGTAACGTTGTGAAAGCATTACATATGTTTTCCATAGACTAAAATAGATTACATGACATTTAAGAGAGATATCGTTTTTTCTGTTAATTTATAGTTGATTCAATCACCTTCAAGATAGAATATACTAGCAGCAATTAATTCTGCCTGCGCGTCAATTAACATGAAGAGTGGATGTTGAGAAGAACATTAAGACAATGAATAGGAGAAATATGAAGAATACGAAACAGTACACCGTAGGTATCTCTAGAGATATTATAGAGTTTAAAAGTGAACGATATACAAAGGCAATGACCGATTATCCTTCTCGAGGGCTTTATAACATACATCTAATACAAGGGATTCAGCAAATCATTCTCAAATGCGCACAACAGAAAACAAGATTAGGAATTGCCGAACTAAACGTTAAGTGCGACAGTATAAAATCTGACCAAACCCCAATACCTTGTTTGTGTGAATGAACCCTTAAGTGCGCCTTGAGACAAGAGTGCTTGGTAAACGTGTGGGCGAATCATTTTGAGTAGAACTAAAAACGTTTTACGGGTATAAACTTCACCTGATTATCTAACGATGGGGGAGGATTGAAAATTTCCCCAAAGGGATGTTTGTTGTTCTTGTAAGGACTCTGCAGATCCTTCGTAGAACCGTGATTTAAAATGAATGGCGACAGTTTCAATAAGCGACAAATCTGCCTGGTAACAATTTGCCAAATTCCTTCCTACGCACATAATCAAATTGATTGAGATATCCAAGCACTGTTTACACTGGAAGAAAGATAAACTGGGCCCGTGTATCAGAATGTACAATGCATGTAAAACGTAGGGAAATGATCAGCAGTAGATGCTACATGTATGTGTATGTACCAACAAATGAAACAGTTGGAAATATGTTTGGGATTTAAAGAGCCATATTTCATCTCTAATTTAATCTGGAATTTGTCGACTGAATTGATTGTTTACTTCATGATTTGAAATAAAATGGCGGAGGTTGAGGAAGGTATGTGCATCGGCAGGGGCGGTTTTAGAATAGTGATTTATATGTTTATCTAAATATCATTTATTTATTTATTTACATATCTAATTTTTATATATTGATTTATTATTTTAATAATTATTATATAAATATTATAAAATATAATATATATATATATAATATAATATATATAATATATATAATATATATAATATTATAAAATATAAATATACTTCTAGGGGGGGGGGGCTTGGTTTTGTTTGAATCATTTTGTACTTGTGTGTTACAATTTATTTTGGTGATGGTAGTGAGGGGGGATGTTTCCCCAAACCCTCTCTGTAACCGTTAACAGGCACGGGTCTACAATCGCTGAGACATGATTAAAAGATGGTGCTGACAAGAACGGTTGTGTTTCAAAAGTATTGTATGTTCCAATTGGCGGAGGGGAAGGGGTGAGGATACGAACAAGTGTCCCTGGATACGCCATTGTATGGCTGTAGTTAATTAATGAGCTGCTACATCAAATGTATTAACGATCGAATCATATGCATAGAAATAAGAGCACCGTCATGAATTGTAGAGTATTATATTTCTCCATTACTTTTTTAAGGAATTTCAATATTTTGGATAACATTTTTCTTTTAATTGTTAAATCCCGCAGGTAAACAATCACGGTAATTTATAGTAAAGTTTGGATCTTTCTCTCTCATTTATTTCATTATCGACTAATCCTTTTTTATGTCCTTATATCCTACAGGTTTAAATCAAAGGAATAACCAGGCTCAGAGCGCCGGGGAATGCTCAGAAATATGCACATCACCAAACTGTGTAGCCTCAGGTTCGTTCCACTTTAATCATTTTATTTTGAGTTTGCGTTTTTTTTTGTTCTTTTCCCTAAAACCTTTTTTTGCTTTTATGGTGGCTATAGTTTGGAAATGATTTGTTCCCACTTTACTTTTACGCTTACAGCTTAAGCCCCTTTCACACCGGGCCATGCGTAGATTTGCGTAGTGTTGCGTATCGACGCGTTAGTACGCCGTGAGTACGCTGTCCTACGCTGGCCTACGTAACTATACGCTGAGGGACGCAAAGGGGTACTCGAGATGGAGTCAAAAAAATTAACCATGTTTAATTTTTTTGGCGTACTCTTGGCCTAGACACTAGACGCAAAAAAATACGCATTGTGTACGGAAGTCTACGCAACACTAGGCAACACTACGCTACAGTACGCCAAGCCTACGCAACAGTTCGCTACTCTACGCCAGTCCGACGAAGCAGTAAAAGCTTGTGCACACAGTAATCAACCGTACGCAACCGTAAGCAAACCTGTACGCCAGGCGTACGTAAACGTACGCAACCCTATGCTTGTTATACAAAATCGTAAGCGTAGGTACGCCAGTTGCATACGCCGTAGGTACATAACCATACGTCATCGTACGCGAGCCTACGCATAACCTACGCATAGACTACGCCGAAGCAACATTGTTTTATGAATACGCAACCTAATTTCGGCGTAGTTAGTACGCCACACCACGCAACTCTACGCAGATCCGGTGTGGAAGGGGCTTTACACATATTTCATCATTGACACCACGTGATATATCTATTTATGAAATCATTATGATACTTCCCTCGCTTCTAACGGGGTACCCAGAGCCATAATAGAAGACGATACTAGTAATAGTACACAAATATACACTGCCTTGAGAGGATCTGGTTAAAACTATGCGTAAGAGGTGACTCCAATAGTACTAGCAAATGGTACTTTTGGAGTCACCGAGGCCCATAGTTTAACCAGTACCTCGAATAGAAGGCATGGTATATTTGTTTTATATCCTGCATCAAAAATTAAAAAAAAAAATAAAAAAAAAAAAATTGGGGGGAAAAAAAATTAAGAACAAAAAAAAATGACAATTTTTATCTAAAACGATTTAAAATATTTTATTTTCATTCCATTAAGATTTGAAGAAAAAAAATTGATTCAATTAAAAAAAAAAAATCATATTTTTTTTCAACTCCCGAATAGTAAACCAAAATAGTACTCTCATATAGTACTTTCTAAAAATAGGTCAAATATTTTGGGTCATGTGACGAGCTCTCAACCAATCAAAAGCCAACAAATTTTTGATGCAGGATATAATATTCTTATAATTCCTAATGAACGTCAATACCAGATGTGCGCATATATTATTTTAACATCTTTTGTTTTTCCACATGTTAAAAATTAAGATGGAAATACGAACATTATTTACTCATCTGGCATCCGTGACTTTTTTACTCAACCACATATTACTTTTTTCATTTAGTAATGGAAGAAATATTTTTAAAAAATCCATAACAACATCTCAACATTACGAAGAGAAAAAATTAAAAGGAGGAGAAAAAGAAGAAGATGGAGAAAAAGAAAGAAAAGAGGAGGGGAAAAACCCACTTTATTTGAATGAACATCTGCCGGTACTTATTCCTATCTATAAAGATTTTCCCCATCTTTAGAAAGTCTGTTTCCATTTCCTCGATGTCTTTGAAATCCCTCACAAAGGATGTTGCCTTCGGAAACGTCTTTTCCTATCAATGATATATGTTTCAAGGTCTTTGATCTTTGATTGCCAAGCGCGATAACATCATCAAAAAGCAGGGTTCTGGAAAGAAAACAGATACGATATTATCATAATATTGATCTTGAAACAGGTTGTGTTCAAAATCTCATTATGCCTTTCTGGAGACAGTCCAACATTACACAATAGCCTATCTGCACCTGTTATACTTTATAACGTATGCTCATAGCCCGAAGGGCATTTACTGTGTGTAGAAGTTTAAGGGGTTAACGTCTTTCTGGCTCTCTACAGTACTTTTCCATTAATCATACTGTGGGCTTTCCTAACAAAGACATTCCTAGGTGCTAACGCACTTTACCGGGTTCATTTTATCTTCACTTTATACTCTACTTTCAATATATTTTTTCCTGAAAAACTGTAGACTTTTAAACAAAATGGGAATTCGTGGATACATTAGTTTAGAGTAGGGCCTAGTCCTTTTGGCAGGACTATTTTCTAACGCATATGAGTTGCTTTAACGGGAGTATCCGCGGTAGGGGATGCACCCTGTCTTCCGACACAGGTTCGATGCACAATGACATATGGTGACGTTAAACGTCAGTCCCAGTAATTTATAAAGCAATATAATTAGAATCAGTAATTTATATCCCATTTTCCTAACACAATGTCTTTCATTTTCAATTTCCAGCGGCTCGACTGATTACAAATATGGATTTAGATGTGGACCCCTGCGAAGATTTCTATGAATATTCATGTGGAGGTTGGCACAAGTCTAATGTCATTCCCGAGGACGATTCACATTATGCAGTTCCTTCAAAACTTATAAAGAGCTTAGAAATCCAGTGTAAAGGTTAGTAGAATAATGATATAATAAGCGTTCACCCATCATTGCCCTATCGAAGGAATAATGATTTATTATTTAAGTTGATAAGAAGGAATTCTTTCATTATATCTGTATTTTCCCCCTAACACTGTATACCCTCTTAATACAAAGGTGTGAAAAGCATCATTTTAGTAATGTTACGAGAGATCAATTCATTTGAAGGTGAATCCGCTCCAAATTCAATGAGTTCTACTGCAAATTAGTGGTTACATTTACTCTTATGGATTCCACTAATTTTTAAAGTATGAATTCCATTCCCATCGTAGTGATCCTTTATATGACCCCAACCTGGATTTCCCCCACTGCGAATTGCAATGATGATCGATCATATCAAACACTCCATCAGATATGCAACAAAATATTGGATAGGGATAAAAAGATACTGTCCACATCCTCCAAAATTTTGTCGGGCAACAGTATAAATACAATTTTGATACACCGACAACAACTGTCCTAAACCCTTGTACAATGAGTTCCGATGTAAATATTTGTTTATAATCGATACAAACATTTCAAATTTAATTTGATCATCGTGAGAATTTTCGAGGAAAATTCTTTTGATTAATGAGTATTATGTCGATGCACGGAAAACCTTTACAATTCATTTTTTTATACGTTGACTTTGAAACGAACATTATATGCAATTGCAATGACTTTGAAGTGAAGACTTATTTTGTATTTATCTCTCTCTCTATTTGTCACTCCCCTCTCTCTTCCCCCCCTCTCTCTCTCTCTCTCTCTCTCTCCCCTCATCTCCCTCTCCATTCCTCAGAACTTATTGAAAGGAAGCCACCTCCGTCAGAAACGGCTGCAATCAGAAAAGCAAGAAATTTCTACCAGTCCTGTATGAATGAAGGCAAGTGTAGAGATAGTTACAGGATCGAGGTTATTATGCCTCAGTCATACCTTTGTGTATTTTTCTTGCGTATTGCTGCGTATTTATGGCAAGCCGTTTTAACATTTATTCTTATTTCTTGATATCAAGAAATGATTTTGTTGTTGTGAAGCAATGGTAATCCTTAACATAGCCGTTTTAACATTTATTTGTATTTCTTGATATCTAGAATTACCATTGCTTCACAGCAAAAATTCATTTCTTGATATCAAGAAATAAGAATAAATGTTAAAACGGCTTGCCATAAATACGCAGCAATACGCAAGAAAAATACGCAAAGGTATGACTGAGGCCGAAAAGGAGGGGAGTGATGGTTACCTGTGATATTCTTTTTCAAAACAAAAAAGTTTATCATATTTGTGCTTCCCTTTGGATTTAAATCATATAACGAGGGCACAATTTGAGGGTATTTTTTTTTAAAGAACTCAGTGTCTTTAAAGCCCATCTGAACTCGTATGGCCAGGGGGAATTGACTTCCCTGCGTGGTCGCTGGCAGGTGGTTATCTCATCAAATCAGCTCTCAATTAACATAAGAAAAAGGGGATCATGGGGGACCAACAGGCACCGATTAGGCATTGTTTGCTATATAGAGAGCGCAAGTATCTATAAGTAGTACGATGGGACTTTAAGATCACTTGGGTCTTGCAGGGGGGATTACAGGAAAGGGCAGGAGGGGGTACGGAGACGCGTGCAATGCATGTCTCTCTCCCCCTCTGGGTCCATCACTAGCATGACGCATACACAAAATATGTAGGTTTTTACCAAATTAATTTCGGTAAGCTACGAAATATTGAATATTATTAGGACTATGTCATGAGGAATATAAGAAAATATTGTAAGGGATATACAGTGCGTCCCGAAAAAAAACTATACACTTTTGAAATGGCTGCCGAATAAAAAATATATGAGTATGGGGGAAAGGTTTTATATGTATGGAAAGCTCATAAGCTCAGCTTTCATATGACACCAAAAAGTCCGAAAATAATTCATGCTTGGGTGAGCACTGCTCACTTTTGTAAAGGGTATGAAAATTAGGTTGCGCAGGAATTAGCCTTCCAATTTGTGAGAGGTAAATCCTTTGGAGCTTACGGAATTGAGGATGATATGACCAATTTATGATCAATTGTGATGAGTTTTGGTTTGCTGAGTGAAATTTGTGGTTTATGGGATTAACATTTTATGCATGAGTGAACAGGAATTGCATTTGTTATTACCGTATAACAATGTAACTTTCCATGGTATGGGAGTCAGGACGGGGTGATGGTACATGGTGCAGGGGAGGTGAAATGTAGGGTAGGACTTTGTTGGGTAGATGGGATAAGAGTCAAGAGGACATGTATGCCCCTCCCCCTCTCTTTCTCTCTCCCTCTCTTTCTCTCTCCCTCTCTCTCGCTCTCTCTCTCTGCCTGGTTGTGCTCGTGCATATCTTGACAATCCATTACATTCAATCACTTAATCAACAATGTACGGTATCAGTCAATCAATTAATCAATCAAGCATTCAATCACCATTCAGTATTTCAATCAATTTAATCATTCATTCATAATTAATCAATCACTCAATCTATCAATCAACCAACCAGTCATTTTAGCACTTGAGTTTCTGTAAATGGTAAATGGGTAACCTGAAGAAAAAGTAGCCAACATCTGTGATATTCCTCTTTTCAACAAACCGTACTTGAATAATCAATTTACATAATCCCCATCTGGTTATTAAGTAAATCAATGAGATGTTCGACTGATCTTACAATAACTGAAATGTGGGGTGAAGGTTTTTATTCAAAGTCACAGATGTAAAAAATAACAGTTTGTAAGATGGAAATTACAACATGTACCATCACCCCCATCCTGACTCCCATGAACACACCACTGAGTCTACCAGGGAAAGTTACAATGCTACAATAAAAAATGAAATTCCTGTTCACTCATGCATACATGTACAAGTTTGGTTTTATAAACCATGTAATTCACTGAGCAAATCATGAATAATTATCACCCTCGATTTTTTAAACACCAAAGGATTTACCTCTCACAAATTGGAAGGCTAATTCCTGCGCAACCTAATTTTCATACCCTTTACAAAAGTGAGCAGTGCTCACCCAAGCATGAATTATTTTCGAACTTTTTGGTGTCATATGAAAGTTGAGTTTATGAGCTTTCCATACATATAAAACCTTTCCCCCAGAATCATATATTTTTTTATTCGGCAGCCATTTCAAAAGTGTATAGTTTTTTTCGGGACGCACTGTATAAAGCAAATAATTATACAAACGTATAGGTTAAACCATGTAATCAGACTCATTTTGATAACTTACGAACTAGGGAATATTATAAGGAATATTTGTAGGAAACAAATATGCACCGAACTGTTTAATTGTAACCCATGCAATGACCGAATAAGCCAAGTTAAAATATTGATTATACTATCCAGCATTCCAATTGCGCCTTTTCTTAAAACACATGCAAATCGCTCAAAAATCTGTATAGATATGGCACAGGGGATCATGCGTTGAAATACTCCATAATAATATTGCCTAATTTTTCTATCGTCCAGCGACCACTTGCAAATCGCATTAAATTGGATAACAATCTTTTAATCTCTGTCCAATAATCTGTTTTTTATTTGTGATTCTAGCATTATTAGTGTCTTGCTGTTCTGCAAGCCGAAGGAGATTTAATTTGTACCTCGCTTTTTGTCCTCAAAACATCATTCCGGATGGCTTAAAAAAAGTGATTCGTATTGTTATGGTTGGCTAATTGCACCAAATAATACAGTATAATTGGATTACGAGAGAACTGATTGAAAAACAATCATCATAAAAACTATGCTTGGGCATCATAGTGCTGACTTACTGTATGACTTGATTATTTTTAATATGAGTGATTTGACATTGTAGACATCAACGATAGCTATGCCTGAGTCATGCCTTCCTCTTCTAGGACAAAGTTTCACATTTATAATGATGGTTGCGCTATTACGTAACATTCAGTGTTACACTCATGTTCCGCACTCAAATGCTCCACAGCCAATAACCTACATACATGAAATGTATAACTTCTACTCTGGATCCAATACTATCACTACCCCCAATCAGTGACCTAACAGTAACCTACAATCTAACTGCAACACTGAAGTTATCCCAATGTCTTTGCCGACATAAATCCCGTTACAAAATACAAATGTCGGGTCATCGGTTTTCTGCCATTTAAGATAACAGAGTCCAGTTCTTATAACTTATAATAATAAATAATAATAATAATAATAGCCGAATAGTCCACTCCAAATTTTATTAAACCGAAACGGAAATTCACTGAGCAGCGCCAGATCTATCCCTTATTGTTGAACGCCAAACAAGGTAGCAACAACCCCCATCTTTTAACGTCTTTTGGTATAACGCGGCCGGGGTTCGAACCCACGACCTCCCGGTCTCACCGCCAAACCGATACGAAATCGACCCCAACCGACTGATTTTGGGCTATTTGGTTTAATAGTCTGATGTATTATGTATCGTTTTCTATACAGATATACTTACGCAGCGAGGGAGCGAACCATTAAAAGCACTTCTCAGGGAACTCGGCGGATGGCCCGTAGTCAACGACGGCGTGTACGATGAGGGAACGTGGACGTTGGAAGACGTCCTGGCTGCATCACGAATACAGCTCGATCGGAACTTCCTCTTCCACAACAGGATTTCAGTAGATGCGGCGGATTCGAACGCACACATTCTAACGGTATGGCTGGGAGATAAGATTGATTTACTGGAAATTATGTATCCAAGAAAACTAAAAAGTTGTTGAAAGGGATTATAGGGGGAAGTCTATTGAGTAATGCAATGCACTCTATATGAATAGACAAGGTGAAGAAAACGTGAAAACGAAGGGCAGGGTGTAAAATAAGAGTAAAAATAATGGTTATTATAATTATAATTGATGGGATTCGTCATCTTTTGAATGATAATAAAGATTGGAGTTTACAGTCCTTGGTTCAATCAGTATATGCGTTGTTTTCTGAAATCGACGGACACGGAAAAGTCCCAAATATCAAGACCATCTGGGATTATTTTTCGGACAGCGGTGATGTTCGACGTAAACTTGAAAAGGGAAAGAGTGGCGTAAAAAAGGGAGATCATAATGAAAAACAATTTATCATTAACATGCATGTTGCTTTAGTAAAGTCAATCATTTAAATCAGATTAAGAACATAGCTTCCTAACATTGGACAAACTTGTGATAGTCTCCTTAAAAAAAATTCTTTCCTTTTTGTTTCAGTTTGACCAACCTATACTTGGTTTAGAAAATCGTGACTACTTCCTGAGAAATGAGTCAATAAAGGTATGTTGATATTTCTTCTTTTCTTCAAAATGTTCTCTTTGCAACAAAGTAAAACAATTAGCTTGATATACTTAATGCTGAAAATTGTTGATCATTTGGAGAGTAATTTTGCTTTGATCGGTTAAACATCTGACCGTTACCATAGGCATGATTAGGAAAAGTTTAATTCTCCGATGTACAAACATTAATTATCATAAAAGTCAATTTCTCCTTGAATTTTCAGGCTTTTCAACAGATCTACAGTTGTCACGGGTTGAACGAGTTTAACTTTGTCCGTCTTAGATTGTCAACACAATCTCCGGAGTCGGACCCCTACAATAAAAAGACTGGCTGAGGCGATATATATTTTTTTAGAAAGTATAGCAAAGATTATTGGTGTTCGATAAATCATTTTGTCAAATTTTCAGGAGAAAAAGAAGAAAATTATGAACAAAACTTTGTTACCCTTTCCTGTAATTACGTAAAGAGGATTTTATATATTTTTGCAGGGTTTGGAAGCATATCAAAAATACATGATCGACATGGCGCTGTATGTGAGAGGGGACAGTGACAGGGAAGAAGTTACCAGACAGATGCAAGAAGTTCTAAACTTTGAGAAAAAGATGGCAAACGTGAGTATTACTTCTCTCTCTGACTTTTGTTTTATAGAAATTCCGCACGGGGCTGGAAGTAAAATATACTGCCCGCTTTGCGTTTGCTGATGTGACAATTATTCACTGCACTAATATAGTGCCTTATTCCTGATTATTGAAAAAGTAGCATGTAATGAAAGCGCAGCTCATCCATTAATGTGAACAGCATTTACATATTTTAGAAATATATAAGTTAAGATGGCTCATTAAAAATGCTAGCTGCTCGGTTTATGTAGATAATGAATTTAGACAAGGGAGGCAGACTGCTGGTAATAATAGCCCTGATAATATGTATAGCGTGAATAGTTGCATATTTGAGAATACAATATATTTAGTGATTCCAAAAAACAAATTCTATGCATATTTTTTTCCCTTTTCTCTTTCAAAACCTGTTCTACAAATAAATGTGTTTATGTGCTCACGTGCTCGTGCAAACCAAAGAGCTACCCGTTTTGGATTACGCTTTGAATATATACAGTTTCATTTGTTCTAACATGCTCTTTCGGTTACTTTTTTCTTTTCAGATTTCTATGACGCAATTAGCTAAAAGAAGAGCCCAGATAATGAATCAGAAAGTCAGTGTATCATATCTCAAAAGGAGAATTCCTGCTGTGAGTCCTAATAGTAATCTATTTAACTTGTTATTAAACATTGTTTCAGGTCACATCTTGAACATCATAAGGTATATCGAAGCGACCCTTATATATAGGGCTGCTGGGAAATGCCGTGGCACAAGAGGGTTTTTTTTTAAGAGAGAAAAAAGGCCCCTGCAATTTTTTTACACCACAATCCACCTTCAGCATTCCAGTACCCATGTGCCCCTGAAAAGTCAGCACCCTCAGTTCACGGGGCCATGCCTGACCGCGGTTTGCAAAATCACGAACCCAACTTTTAAATGAGTATTTATTTATCTCCAAATAAAATGCGTTATTGAAACCCTATATTTAAACCCATCCTGTTACCAGGATCTAAACGCTCAAATTATTCATACGGAAAAAAACCCCAATTGATTAAGAGGTGATTCGACACATTGATCTAGCATAACCTGATTAAACATGTACAAATGTAAACATTTGCCTCTTGTCCTGTGAAAAAACGTGGGATTTGACGATAGAGATAAAATAGATGGATACAGAGAAAGACAGAGGGAGAGGGAGAGGAAGATATTAATATAGAGAGAGAGAGAGAGAGAGAGAGAGAGAAAGAGAAAGATAGAGAGAGAGTGATGAAGGAAGGGAGAGGAGGGAGAGGAGTGAAAGGAGGGGGCATGGGGTGAGAGAGAGAGAGAGAGAGAGAAAGAGAGAGAGAGAAGAGAGAGAGAGAGAGAGAGAAAGAGAGAGAGAGAGGAAGAAAAAGAGAAAAAGAGAGGGAATGTCTTTTAAAGCCTTATTTAAAATGAATTAATTGACATGAAATGAATGTTAATTTAATTCATTTTACTTTCATTTCTTTTTTTGATCTTCAGATTAATTGGACTCGATATTTTCAGCTGGTGATGAATACATCGTCCGTCGACCACTCGATGGAACTCGTCGTCTATTCACCACAATATTTGCTGGGACTAAATCAAATGTTGTTAGAAACACCAAACAGGTAAACATTACATTTCTTGAAAACTCCCAACGGTATTTCCTTTGACTCGATAGAAAATGTAGTTTCCCTAATTTTTTCACGTTAGTGACGTGATCGAACTTTTACTTTGTATATGAAATATAATTATGAATTTTTATTTGCATCAGTGATCAGACGATGAAGTACATCAATATATATTGAAAATTCGAACGATAGAAAATCTATTCCGCAGAGCTGTTTTATGCATTTTTTCCTATTATTTTGCATTGTAAGCACTGTGGTACGTTATCTTTTTGGTGCTACTTTATCGTATTGTGTTCAACTCATTTATATTCGTTTAATCTGTTAAAAGGTACTCGTCTATGCCTAAATATTGGTAGTTTGATATTTGTAGTTGATTCTTTCATTTGAAGATGGTAATCATGATTTTATAATCGAATAGGGTTTCTATAATATAACGTACCAATCTCCTCTCTCTTTCGCATACCAGGACCATTGCAAACTATGTTGTATGGCGTGCTGTTACACATACCATGGATATGATGAACACCGAGGCACGCTCAATACGACAGACGTTCCTCAAGGTACAGTTTACTACCCTTTACTATTTCCTTGGTTGGGCGACACATGCTTATGCGACAATACCCTACAATACGCTACATTAACCAACTTCCAACATTCTTGACTAAATACCGTAGCTAACCTTAACCTGAAAGCTAACCTAAAACACAATTACGACCCTAATCCTAATCTTGAGGCTCTATCTTTGAGGAAGTGAAACTTGGAGCTGGTGTCACCTTAGCAAAAGTCAAATCATCGCATCCGTTCTACGTTCGCAAACTTAACATGCTTAAATATATATCAACTCTGTAGTCAAGGGTATATTTTGGTCGAATAAGGAGGGGGAGGGGATCAGAATAACCTTATAATTTTGTTGAGCATAAGGATCGTTTGTCAATCCTCTCGTTTTCATATGAGGACTAGTAGCCCCAGACAACTATCTCCGAACAACTTCTGGACAACTGGCCCCTAGGAAAAGTACCTCCCAGACAAAAAACCTCCATTACATTGCGTTCTATATAGGACACTGCTGTTTAAATCTTAAAACATCTCGAAATGTACAATTCATTTTTATTTGAACATCTTGTTTTACCATGATAATGAGGCAGAAATACTTACGGCTTTTGAAATAGGTTGATAGAGACGATTCCCTCTTTCACATAAATCAACACTTTTACTCCCTTTTTGGTTTTAATGACTTTGTTGGTAATAATTTTAATATCACCATGATTTTATCCCATGACAACCAGGATTTTATTCGTACACACTACATGTTTATATTTTGCAAACTCACTGTATCACTTTCATATCCATGTGACCTTTGACCTTGACCTTACAGGTCGTGAGTGGAGAAAAGAAGGAACGTGCAAGATGGATCCAGTGCATAGACAACACGAATACTTACATGGCTCACGCCTTGGGGGCGCTCTTCGTGCAGGAGAAATTCGACGTAGAGAGCAAAGAAACGGTAGGAGTAAGAGCCGGGCACAAACTAAATATTAAAAAATGCATTAATAAAGTAAAAAGGGGACGGGAATACCGTGTGGGAACATTGGGATGAGTTAGTGGGATTTACGTACCAAAGTGAATACCACGAAAAAAAGTCATGACGTTATACTTTTTACCCCCACCGTTTACGCTTACATTGTATTACATGTCGTGGGACTTTTGAAGATCCCTGAATTAAACTAAATAAACTGAATATATTGAATATTTAGCTGGAATACAATAATACTATACATATTTTTGTTACAGACGAAATTCCATCACTTTATATTTTCGGAGAGCATTGAATCGTTGATACTTGCCACCCTCTCATTAACTATTGCTCTATGAATGATTTTGATTATCGGATAATAAATCAACTTTACTATTGTTGTAATTTTTATGATTGATATTGTTTTCATAATTCTCATCAGTTCATCGTTTCACCATTGTTTTTTTTAATTTTCATTAATATTTCTATTATACCATTATTCTTATGAACACTACGATAATTATCGTTTTGTCAATATCATTATTCTAACTTTTTTAAATTGGATTCGTGCACAGCAATATAACAACGGTTCTTTTTTATCCGTCAGCTTAAGCAGTCGTATAATTAATCATAACACTGAGACTGAAATATGAGTTATACACTAATATTATTTTTTCTACTCCCAAAAGGCTTTTAAGATGATAGGACATATGAGAGACGCCCTCTATAGTATTATAAACTCGACGGACTGGATGGATGACGTAACAAAACAGAAAGCATTACAGAAGGTGAGTTTGGAGATTATTGCTCTAGGAAGATTGCATTTGCACTGCATCATACACTTACACAACATGTGAATGAACATTGAATTATTGATGAAAACGATATGGAATAAAACTCTACTATTCAATTATCAGTGGCGTATCAGGTATTTAGGCGACTTGGGCAAGACAAAAGAATGAGGGCAAGGCTAGACGTTTGGTTTCAGGGCACGAATTCAGTCATTGAAAAATTAATCTATGAATACAAATTTGGATTAGTGGTGGGAAGTATGGAACGCCGAGAGATCCCTGTGAGAGTCTACGTAAGGGTATGGCAAGCACAAACGAAACGATGATAACCAATGTAAACATTAATAGCAGAAGACGAAGGTAAAGAGGAAGGAGCCTGAACAAAAAGTAAACGATTATAAGAGAGCATTATAAAACAAAAAAGAAGAAGAAGAATACAGAAGGGTAGATGAGGAGAAAAAGAAGGTGAAAAAGAAGAATGGGAGGAGAAGCTAATTACGAAGAAGATGAGTAAGAAGAGGAGGAGTAAAGAAATGAAAATGAATGATATAGCACAATAAGATCTGGTTAACAACACCAAGTATAGATAAGCTAAGTCATCAATCTTTTGGTGTAGGTGCCGTGGCATAGTGGTTCATTGACTCTTAATCCAAGGGCTGAGGGTTCGAATCTCGGCCCGGCACTAATGTCCTTTGACAGGATATGAATCCACATTTGTCACTCTTCACCCAAGTGTTTAATGGGTACCCAGTAAGATGCATTGTGAGCCTCTGTAAATGGCGTCTGGCTTGAGTGCTCCCCGGGGAGTGGAGAACGTGCATACATTGTGAGCGGGAAAGCCGGAATCTAGTGACAGGAGTAAAGTATTTTTGTAAAGTGCTTAGCGACATCGTCAATGTATTAAGCGGTGTATGAATCCAAAATATTGTTAGTATGTTTGAGAGAGGAAATTCTAAATCTAGTTTAATAAGAACCTTCCGCTATCCTAAGAAACAGATACGACCAGGAAAACCTTTAGATCATTACATAATCATTGCTAATACATCGTTTGCACTGTCATGTTATCTAATATGATATATATTTTTTCTTCCTTCTTACAGGCATTCGCAATAAGAGAACAAATTGGATATGAGGAAAAATTATTAAACTTTACACATCTTGATGGGCTGTATGAAGGAGTAAGTTACTAAATTCTTTCTTCTATCTGTTATGTGTTTATATCAAGCTTAAACTGTTCCAGGGGAATGTTTCACAAAGATTAAGATCGACCTTAAGTTGGATTTTTTATATGGCAGGCCGTTCATGCCACTGTTTGCTCTCACCATTTTAATCTTTGGATAATATTTTTCTTTCAATAATGAATTATCAAAAAAATGTAAATTCTGTAGATCTGTGACCATGATTTGTACGTCCATTGATAAACCAATGCCAGGAATGGTGAGAGCAAACAGTGTCACGAACGTCCTGCCATAGTTAAGTCCAATTCAAAGTCGATCTTAGTCTTTGTGAAATATCCCCCTGGTTTTGTATCAATAGTTCGTATCGGAATTTTTGTCTAGCTAACTCTCTATTTGTGAACAGAATATTGCTTCCTCTTTTTGGATTTTTTTTAATACGATTGTTATTTAGCCATTTTTAGTATCGTTACTTTAATAGGCCTCACTGTCTGCTAATTAGACAGTCAATAATTCCAATATACAACCACGTTTTAATAGTATAGCACTACATAATTTGGAACACAATATCATTCATTGGTGGAATACATCACTGTGATTACGTAAAATGGTTAGATTCCATCCATATACTTGTAATACAACTGATTAAATATATCCAACATAGTCTCGTAAAGCGGAGGAGTGAAAGTTCAGTGTAATGCGTCTTAGTAGATATCAACTAAAATCAATACTAACAATGAAACAGGGCCTAAGATTAATGTTTTAGGCCCTTAAAATCGTTAGAATCGGCTATAAGATCAATATTAAGACTTGATGAAACACCCCGTACATTTAGAGAGTGAGCCTGAATAATTGTACTGGAGATATTATACTATTATTGTGCATATAAAATTATATTCCCGTTTTTTCGCTTTAGGTGGACATAACGGTAGAGCGGTATTTTGAAAATGTATCATTATTGAAACGTGCTTGTGTCCTTTTCCATGTTTTTAATATTTCTTCTAGGTGGATATTACAGTAGATCAGTATTTTGAAAACGCTGTTCAGATAATGTCTGAACACGCCAGGAAGCTGTTCGGTAAACTTGATGAAAGTGTGGACAGGTATGGCTGGTCTACCGCACCTGTTGTTGTTAACGCGTACTACCAATTCCCCAGTAATTCGATCAGTAAGTTTAGTTAAATTGCTATTGCTATTAGGACTACAACAATGACAGCAACAACCACAAATGCAGCAACAAATGCAAAAGCTACTACTGCTACTCTTCAACTACTACTACTACTACTACTACTACTACTACTACTACTACTACTACTACTACTGCTGCTGCTGCTACTACTACTACTACTACTACTACTACTACTACTACTACTATTACTACTGCTACTACTGCTACTACTACTACTACTACTACTACTGCTACTACTACTATAACTGCTGCTGCTACTACTATACGACTACTTCTTCTACTACTACTAACTACTTTTATAACTACTTACTACCAGGGCCGTAGCCAGAGTTTTATTTTTTTTTTAATTTGTTTTTATATATATATATATATATATATATATATATTTTTTTTTTTTTTTTTGGGGGGGGGGGGGGTGGCACATACACGTAATTGATCAACTCCCCCCGTGGCTACGAGCCTGCTGAATACTACTACTACTACTACTACTACTACTACTACTACTACTACTACTAACTACTACTACCAAGTACTACTATTACTAATGCTACTACCACTACTCAAGATTATCTATCGTTTTGACTGAAATTTATATTGCAACAGGATCATCATGAAATTTTGTAGTAACTGTTAATTACAAACACAAATTTACTGCATTGGCTTTCTCCTCTTTTAGTGTATTACATGGGTATTCTTTCATCACGGGGAACTGGGGGGGGGGGGCAGGAGGGTGTTATGTCATTTCAGCTAAGATTAGTATCCATGTGTTTTGCTAACTCATTTAATTTTTTATTTTTTTATTTCCAACCATGTCAACAGGATGAAGTGGGTAATTGGCGCGGTGATGGGGGGGGGGGGGGGGGGTGGGGGATTAGAGAAGGATATGGGCCGACCTGATTGTCCTTTGCGACGCCTATATGATTTATATACAATATAATGTTGTTGTTTATTGTGCCCATCTTCCCGTTTAGCTTTCCCGGCAGGTATTTTGCAGCCACCATACTTCAGCAGACGATATTCAAGGTAATTGATATGGTCATTCCGATTTAGAATAAAATAACAGCAAAATGACGGATGAAATTGGTCTATTTACATTGCCTAGTTGTCATATTTATCATCAATTAGAGCGAGAACTATTAATTTTGAGAGACATATATTTTCCGCTAGAATTATCACCACTCTTTCTTAAGAAATATGACATATCAATTTAAATGGTGCAATTTACATTGTGTGCCGTAAATATGATAATAAGACAATAACTGACCTCTCTAAAACTTCTTTTACTATCATCATAAAATTGTTAAACGAGTACAAATGGCAATTTGAAACTCTAATTATTCAGAAGATTATCACTGAATTATTTACGGAGACAACAACTCGTTCGTTTATAATCGCATAACTGACATTTATAAGCCCTATATCTTTCTCAGGAAATTGGAGTCTTACGTATTCTTTTTATTAATGTTATGTCTCTTGATTACTGAGATATGTAAATACATGTAGTAGCTTTCTTGTTTTTTTTTTTTTTTTTTTTTTTTACAGATCTATGAATTACGGTGGAATAGGAGTGGTAATCGGACATGAATTAATGCACGCGTTCGACGACAAAGGCAAGTAGATTGTTAAACTGGAAATTGAACTGAATTGAATTGAATTGACCATATAAAATACATGCACCTTATAGTCCGATTTAAAGTAGGCAAATATAAAATTAAAAAATCCACTAGTGAAGTTAATATGATAAAATGAAGAAGACAAAGAAGAAAAAAACACGATCTAGAAGGAGAATATCAAAATAAAACATGAAAAGAGGGAAAGCAAGTAACAGCGTTGACAGTGAAATAACAATAATGTTTATGAACCCAGAAATACAATTTAGTATGCAATTAAACATTCAGTAGTAAAACCGTCATAAAGCTATTTGGCTTGAGATACGCATTGGTAATCATTTTTGAAGATTGTCATGATATACTCAGAATAAAGCAGAGGAGTGAGGATTATTGAATATAGAGCAGTGCGATCTATTTCAAAGTATCTCATATGATAACATGGATTTGCTGCATATTCTGAAAAGCCAATATTTTCTACGTATAACAAGATGGTGCTTTAAGCACAGTATATTAGGGATACGCCGTATGGAGAATAAAACAAAACACAAATAAAAAATGAATAATAACAATCAGTATAACTAAGATGATGTGGAATAGCAAAATCATCATAATTATATGGCCATTTTTAAAATTTGCTTTTCTCATTGTTTAGAATATCTCCCCAATAATGTGTGTGTATTTGTGGGGTGGGGGTGTAACCCCAACTGCTCTTCTTGGCCCCATTTCACAAAACTTGTCATCAGTGACAAATGGCAGTTTTTGTTATAAGCTAGTGAAATCCTTGCTTCTGATTGGTTATCAGCAGATTTGTCACCTATTTTTGTCATTTGTCATTGTAAAATGACTTTGTGAAATGGGTCCCTGGTCAATAGAAACCTTCAAATATATGTGTTGCATCATTTAGATGTTTTGTATTGAATCTCTTTAATAGTTTATTTTCTATTATTTATATATATATGCTTTCTTATATCGATTGTTATCTTTATTAATGACATAATGTAGAAACAAAATACGAACTAAATTCTAAGTATCCATGATTTTACCTTTTTTTTTAAAGGTCGTCATTTTGATATCGATGGAAACTTGGGTATTTGGTGGTCGAATTCATCTAGTCAGTCATTCCAGAGAAAAGCGCAATGCCTCGTTGATCAGTATTCCAATTATCAATATGAAGATCTCGGCATGAATGTGAGTATGAATCTTAATTTCAAAGTTGTAGAATAATTCATTTCAGATTAATCCAAAGCACTTAAGAGTTTTCTAAAGGTTTAAAAGATTTAGCTTTTCAAATTGGCAACAATAATTGTCTGTTATTCACTCTTTCCTAGTTTAGAAAATGCAAATGTATGGCACCTTACCTTTTTATCGTTATTTTTTATGGATATGATATTATTAAAAAACACTAGTGAACGATAGAGTTCAATAACATGTTCATATTTCTATTACTTATATTGTTATTCTTTTTATAAAGGAATATCCAAAAGACATATCGAAAACAAATCAAAGAAACATGAGAACGACAGAGTTGTGTAATAATGTGAAATTTAAGAGTTTAGAATTCTTATTCATATGTTTATGTCGTTATACCTAGATTAATGGTTGGCAGACGTTAGGTGAGAATATTGCTGATAATGGAGGCTTAAAGGAGGCTTTCATGGTGAGTTTTCTTTTTCTGTTATTTTGTTCAATTGTTTTTAGAAGCCAATAATAGAGTACGAGAAGGAAAAGTGGTGAAGTGGGTGTAATCACCACCTGGGAGGGGGGGGGGGGGGGGAGGGGAGAGGGGTAATTTCTGGAAGGCATGCGTATATATTTTTTTCCTACGATGTAGATGAAATGCTGATTTTTAAGCCCACGATTAGGGGGTAAACGTGGAAAAATTCTTCTTTTTACGTGCAATAATCTCCTTAATCTTCTTGTCTTTTCTTTGATCCCTTTTTCTCATTATTTTTTGGGTATTCTTTTTTTACGGGGGGGGGGGGGGGGGCATGGTCGTGTGAACATCTATGTACTCAGAAGTTGTCTAAGTACATTGAATTACATTTTACTTCAACCCAAGCAAGTCTTTTTTTAAATGGAAAAATGAATATATACATATTTTATATATTTATAAATGTTATACATGTATATATCCATATATTTCATATATTCATATTTATAAGATTCAGATCAAAATTGAGCAGGATTTCTCGTAGGGGAGCGAGGGGATACACCGTATATACATCTAATTAAATTTATATTGACTAAAATGCTAGCCATTATGTGTTATTGCACGTGTAATGTTTTAATATTTAAAAATAGTTCCAGCATCTGTTCTTCAACCATTCTATTGTCTCCTCGGTAAAATGTTAACATTCAGATTACGTACATGCATCCCATTTAGTCACAACTATATTAGCAACTTTTTTTTTTAGCTGTCTGATGCAAATGTTCACTTAATGTGTGCATTACCGTTTCCTCTAAAATTATTATGTTTGTGCTTTAGGGAGTCATTGCCTTATGAATTACCGACGACTTTAAAAATATTGGACTTCTTCGGTTTTGTAAATGACATAATACATATTTTATTCACCGACAGTAATCTCTTGATGATTTATTACGGGAATTCAATGATCATTTAAGACTTATATATTGAAGTCGGTAGAATTGAATTTTCTGCAAGATTCTGTTATTCGCAAGCTTGAATCTCATTAACATAAAATTACTTTGTCCGATCAATGACCCGTACTGTATTATCATGAAAATACGAAGCAGCTAAAATGCCTTGGATTTGGGGGATTGGTTTGTAGTACCTGACTGCTAACAAAGATAATGTACGCGTGTAAAATAATATGCAAGCCGACGGTTTTAAGTTTTATGTATTATCATTATCATTATCATTATTATTATTATTATTATATTATTAATATATTATTATTAACAGGCATACAGACATTCTGTTGAGGAAACCGGTAAGGAGGAACCGTTACTACCCGGTATCAACCTCACACACAACCAGATCTTCTTCCTAAGCTTCGGCCAGGTAAGAATCACATAATAGACCTGTCAACTAATTTCATGCATACTATTGACAACTGAAAGACCCCAAACCTGCCAGATGCTTGCTCGATCGGCATAGCCACAACTAATGTTTACGAAGTGAATTCCATCAATGGAGATGCCCTTTATGGTATAGCAGGTGAATCATAATTATTGGTAACCAAGTGTTTCGCAGAGGAACATGTTTACATTGAAATACATAAGTTAACTGGTGGTGTTTCACAAAGACTAAGATCGAATTTAATTTGGACTTAACTATGGCAGGCTGTTCATGCCACTGTTTGCCAGTGTTACCCTTGTGATGTTTAGATAATAGTTTTTCCTTCAATAATAAATTATCAAACAATGTAAATTGTGTAGATTTGAAACCATGATTTGTACTTCCATTGAGAGACTAATGCCAGCAAATGGTGAAAGGAAACAGTGGCATGAACGGCCTTTCATAGTTAAGTCTAACTTAAAGTTGATCTTAGTCTTTGTGCAACACAACCCTTGTTAAATTGTGAAGGGTCTTGACTCGCATACGAGAAGTCCCGATTTGATCGTGCATGTATATCCTTGGAAAAGGTATTTTCCTCACATTTTGTCCAATTAGCAAGGCACGGGTAATACTAATTGTCGAGCGCTTAGGAAAAATAACGTTAAAACCGATGAGGCTACCCTGGGTATTCCTGTTTTAATAATACATTTTATAATTGAAGCAAATTCTTTTGCAGAAAACATTATAAATCGGTCCCTGCATTAGTTATTTTCATACAATTATAAGTACAGTTTAAAGCTGAACATGCATTCAATTTTGTTTTTGTTAGAGCTATTTTGCGATTTTCATTTACTGGGTGCTCATGGCATTCACAAGTCACTGCCATATTTTATAATGATAAAATCCGTCGTATTGTCCGAGCCGAACGACAATCAAGGCAATTTCGTTTGCATACAAAGGATTCCTGGAAACTATCAGATTTCAGTCACTCTAATAATTTCCTGCTAAGAATCTAAAACAATGTTTAAATTACAATTTTCTCTCTAAAAAACATATTTCTCTTGTTCAAATGACTGTCTCTTTGAAAAACAAAATAGCAAAGCCCTTTTTTCCTGAAAAGATACAGACGTAATAGTTGCTGAATATGGTATTTTTTCCTAGCTCTGGTGCGGGCTTCATCGAGACCAAGATCGAATTAACAGCCTCAAAACAGATTACCACTCACCTCTGAAATTCAGGTTGGTTCATTAGTGTTTTTTTAACCTCTCTCTCTCACAAATGCAATACACCAGTTTACGGTTGTATCAGTGCGCATGCGCAGACAGTTGACCTCGGGTCATTGGCCCTGAAACAAAGCCAATGACCCAAGGTCAGTGGTATTTATGCGTAAATTAAGATTGCGCCCATGCAAATGATAATGTGCGCGCACAATGCAGCGCGTAGGCAGTGATATCATCATAATTTGCATGGGCGCAATCTCAATTTACGCATAAATACATGACCTCTAGGTCATTGGCTTTGATTAAAATGGCGCATACAACCGTAAACTGGTGTATTACTTTTATTCGTCGAGATAAACCCTTTTGGAAGCAGCACAACTTAACTATCTTTCGTTTGCGGAGTTCACAATCATCTGTAAAATAAACAATGACTAAGGTAATGATAATTTATTGTAAAGCGCTTTTTACTTGTGACTGTAAGCTGCCGTATACAAATTCAGTCATCATCATTCATTTTCGTTATAAATAATAATACTATATTTTTGATAGTTATATCATCAGTACTGTTATTGTTTTCCTCGCTATTAGTGTTGCTGTATAGACAATAATGTATTATCTTCCCTATAAAATCTTCTTTTTTGGACACACAGGGTCTGGGGATCTGTAAGCAACTCCGAACATTTCGCTAAAGCTTTCAACTGCCCGACCGGATCACCCATGAATCCTACAAAGAAGTGTGGTGTCTGGTAACATAAACATTATCATTATATCATCTGCTCAATTATGTCGCACGAAAACGTCTACCGTGGAAGTACGTCTCCAAAGATGCTCCAAAACTCCGCAAATCACACCCCGAGCGACCTCACGAAAATTGACGTTTAACTGTAATGATTCTGTTAACTGGTACTACGCCGGATAATTTTGTATTTTGTCAATCGCCCTCACTATCACAGCTCTGAATAATCTGTATTCACAGTAACAAAATGTTCAGAATATTTTGATTCTTTAATCAAGTGTTTTGATTAGAATATTATAGGCGAAGTTGTCCTTTCAGTTGAAGTTTTGTAGTAGAGGCTTTAGAGAAGATGTGGCTAATTTCAGGGCAGGAATAGTCCGAGAAATCTCCCTTGTGAGACGAGAGAACTAGCTGAATGATACTTCGATATGAAGAAGGTTGCAATTAAAATATGATTGTTCTAAATTCAGTGAACTATTTTGTATTGTCTATCAATTAGATCTGTAATCATACCTGGATATCTCAATCATGTTGCAGAAATACAACACAGGGAGTGAGGAATACAGTATTGAAACCCCTAAAATTAGTTCCAATCAAACCATTACAGATTATCTCAGTTTTTAGAAAAATAATGTATCAATATCCAATTATAAAGACTTCGTTTTCTACGTTTTGTTAATATTTTTTTATTTTGATTGTTTTAAAAGTTGTATTATGTTATAAATATTATAATACGATGTAGAATATTGCTGTCACATGAATAGTATTTATTTCCCTTCTTCTTCTTCTACTTTCCTTTCCTTTCCTTTTCTTTTTGTTTTACTCCCCTTCTCCATTTGTCTTTGTCTCAATTTATTTTCGTTCATTTCTCCCACTGTTTGGCCCCTAGTGTTGTGTTGGTCTGTTATTACCCTTTCTTTTCTCATGTTCACATTATTATCAACAACTACGTATTTTCAAATCAATCACATGTATTATACGAATATGTACAATTGTATATTCAAAATGATGTAAGTAATAGTGTACAGATCTTAAATGAATGAGAGTGTTAACGCTTGTATTGAGTGAAAATTGTAGATTATTATTGAAAAATCTTTCATTCAACACTCCAAAAGTTTTATATATATATATATATTCAATTATGTTTTGCCCAGGATCGAAAACCCCGAAATATACAAATCTTGACTACAATAATGTTATTTACAATAAGTTTCTCCAAATTGTTGATGATGTAATTGCTAATTTCCTAAAACATTTTAAAGCACAATGCATTTCATTCACTTCATGCAATTGCCTTTGTTTTAACATTGGATTCGTGCATGTTTGCAGTGTCAAAACAGATCACTGACTAGGCCACACTGTTTTTTTTAAAAAAGAGTCAAAATCTATGACAGAATAAATACAGATTTTCTATTCAAAATGCATCACATCTTTTCAACATTTTCCCATTCTATACGGTAGAAAAACAGATGTATATAGCAATTGATTAAATAAACAACTACCAGACGTACGTGTATCACATTTTATATGAATGTTGACGTTGATATATACTACAATGCAAATCCTCTTGGTAGAGGATATTCCTATTGAGTGATTTCATAACGTCCACTAAATTCGAAAATAAACAAAGAAACGAACAAATAAAATAACGGCAGAACGATTAACAGCGGCGTTGGTTACAATCTATTATGCATCGTAGCTTAAACAAAAAAGGTGTAAATTTGAATATCGAGATAGTGATGATAATATTGATATAAAGTTCTTGTTTATAGTCTACATGTCTAGTATGCATGATTCTATTGAGAGTCCAAAGTTACGAATCCAAACTTTAGAATGGATTCTATCCAGCATTCAATGAATCTCTCCCACGACTATATTTACGCTACTCCTTTGTCAAGGATGGCAATTATCGATAAATGACTTGCAAAGGTAATTAATTCCAAACAGGACCTCTAATCGACGAGCATTCCATTTGAACTGAAGTATTAGAACCAATCGATCAGGACACCCAAACAATTGAAAAATTGAAAAATATACATAATGAACAAAAGTAAAAACGAAGGATGTAAAGGACTTGGGGAAAATACATTGTTAGTTTTAACATAGTAGATTTGATTTTAATCGTCAATTCATAAGATCTTGTAAATATTAAAATTTTCAGCCTTGTACAATTAAACTAGTCAATTTTGTAACATTGCAACTCGTCTTTAACAACCAAGTGCGTTTTCTGTGAACTATTTATGGTTTTGATTGTTCAGAAATCATGTATTGTCTTTTTCAGAGTTTCTTCCCCATGATAGACAGATGTTTCATATTTAGAGAACTGGCAGTGATTTGAATTGTATACCATATGCTTGTTTTTGTGCGGACTTTTTATGTTTTCTTTTTCTACATTTGTCATATCTCTTTATTTTTTCATCTCTGATATCTGTAAAGAACACGTTACAATATATGTAAAGAATGATTTTGCGACAGTGTTTTTATTACCGTGTCATTCCAGTTCAAATTGTTATATATATCTTCAACATCTCCTGACGGTGAATACATTGCTCTACACACAGCTTTCCAGCCAGGATTATGAAACCTTTACAGAACGAATATTCCCAGAGATTTAAATGTAAAACCAACGTATACACGTACATTACTTCGGCAATATGGAAAGCTTTACTTTACTGTTGTACACAATCGAAGTGAAAAGAGAAAATTCATTATCAATTTAGATGTTGAATGAAGGTTACCTCTCTCGAAGGCTTGTATATTAAGTTTTCATCAGCATTATGCAAACATAGACATTCATGTAAATTACAATTGAATTAAGATCCATTTTGCTTCCCCCATGTCTACAATTTTCATTATATTTAATTACGACTTATCCACACTAAAAGATGCTTTCTATTTGACATAGGAAAGTATGAAGATGCTTTAATGACGAGACTTTCACCAAGTCTGGATTTTAGTTGAACAATGTCTCATAAAAATCCTTTAAAAAATATCAATGGGATTGTAATGGTTTTAAACTTTAATGTTGCGAAACCTCGAACTTAAATACACTATCAGGAACTACGAGAGCTCATACGGGACCGACATAATGAGTATTCAAAATTTTAAACTAAATGCCGGGAAATTTACCTTTTAAGTGTTACGTGATTACTCCAAAGTTAATCATTATTTGTGTTCGCATGGCACATAACTTCGAGTGAGGAACCTCGGCAGCTCGTAGTTATCGCACTAAACTTCGAGTAAACTTACATTTTCTTAACCATGCACGATCCGTAAACTTCGAGCTATCTTCGAAGTTTAAAACCACGAAATATAATAAATATCAACAGACTGTCGAATGAGCCTGAGTAAAAAAAAATAAAAAATGTTATATTGGATCTAAATCAATACTTATACCACATCGTTTATAATCAACACACACAAATACTGAAGCTAATGTAAACATTGCCTTTTTTAATACGTGAATAATGAAGCTTATATACGAGTGATCATCCACAGCAACATACGACAACTATTCTTTTTTTTACATTACAAGGCTTAAAGTGACTCAGTAACATTGTTGAAGGTTGATGAAAAAATTGCTTAATTTTTGTATAAAATGTTACTTACTATATTCCTTCTACTGTACTAACCCTATGACATGCAAACAATCCTGAAAAATTCTCAAACCACAAAGATATTTATGGTTTTATTTGAAGGCGTACATGTATGACACCCTCTAACAGTGATTAACAGTAAATTCTCCCAACCATTTTTGAATTTTCCAAACCGTTTTTCCATGAAAAAAAGACATAAAACAGGCTTTAAAAGATCTGTCAACACTTAAATGTCTGGAATGGAATGTAGAGCCATTTTGTTGCTTTGTGACGATTCACATTCACTTAAAATGTAATTAAATTGTAATAATATAGTTGGGAGAATTAAGGAATCGATCAGATCAGTTTTTCCCAATTTGTACCATGAATAATGGTCCATTTTCTCTCAAATTTTCAGATTATCTTTAATTGTACATCTAGCACTGAAGTCACTACTTAGCACCACTATCTCTCATCTGAACAATGTTACCAAGTCCCTTTAAGTCTTAAAAATGGAAACAAATACACTGTTTTGTAAACACGATGTTCATTTTCGGAAACCTGAAGTTCGTGTTTGTGTATCTACAGATATCTACAATAAACCTGAAACACAATGATATCAAATGTGAAGAGCAAAATCATATTTATGTTTTTTCATGAAACCTGTATGTAATCTTAATTTTAAAATTTTTTTTCAATGAAAAAGAATTTGAAAAATAGTCTTCTCTATTTTGCCTAAAGACGGTCAAGCATCGTCAGAGTTTACCATAAAACAAAGAAAAACAAGTTAATTAATATAAATAAGAGTTTCGTTTTATATGGGGTTTACAACAAATATTCTCTCTCATATTAGTTTAAATATACGGCTAATGTGTGCACTTGATCCGATTAAAAGTCCTCTGAAAGATAGTCACCACATTTCTACGAAATATAGGATTGACTGCAATAAAAACAAAGAAATTAATCATATGATTTGAACTTCGAAGACGGACAAGAAGAGAATGGATTTTGGGATCAATAAGCTTTGTGAATACGAACGGTATCATTGCAAAGAGGATATATGGGAGCCACGTGATTAAACAAAATATTGTGACGACGAGGAACATTTTAGTCGTCTTGCTCCCGGGGACATTAATTGTTCGATGTGAGGGTAAATGAGTATCCCTCATTTTCTTGCCTCCATAGACGATGCGGCTTGGAGGTTGTCGTGTGCATTTTCCTGCGCCGTCTGAAGGTCCATCGCTTCCTCCATTGTCCCTGTATCGCAGGAATGTTTTCCTAGCTGCGGACCGCTGTCCGAGTACCGTTAGGTGATTTGCAGGCAGGATCGACGTTACTTTGACAGCTTTTGCCTTACCAGATCTGGCCCTACCAGTTTTAGCTTTACCGGATTTGCCACTGTCGCCGTAATGAGCAGGATCTGATCTTGAGCTTCGTGCCACTAATCCGCTGTTGGCAGAAGCGATAGAACCGTTGCGAGTGTCAGACCATGCAACGCGGCCTGAAACTGATGGTACTTTCCCTGATTCAGGCTGAGGTTTTATAACTCCAAGTTGATTTGACCGATCCATGTCTCTTCGAATTCTTTCTTGCCTCGTGATTACCAGATACACACGCAAATAGGAGTATATACAGCCAAGAAATACGAATAGAAACGCCAGTGCTTGAAGTGTTCTGGATAGTCTAGAAGCCCACGAGAGGGGATTGTGAAGAAAATAGCAGCCTTGTCTCCCATGTTGCTTGGGCACAATCTCGACGTGAAAAGGTAAAAGAAGGGATATCCCAATAGCAAAGATGATGCTGCCGGAAGCTATCAGTATAGCCCGAAACTTGGTAGAACGTCTGAATTGTTTGCATATAATCAAGTAGCGATCCACGGCGATAATGAACGTCATGAAAAGCGTTGCTAGTGAACATGCCTGCCTCAGGATCACCAGAACCCAACACAAAGCACTGGATGCGATCACCTGACATACGGCTGCAGGAGACGGACAAACACAGGCGATTAGGTCTATAATTGCCTGGATCATTATCAGAACATCGGTACTCTTCCAAGGCCTTTTTCGAATATACACACCAAAGATCAGCAAGTTCCCTGGCACACCCAGAACGAATATTGTCCACTGCATGACTGCCGAGATAATGCTGGTCGCAGCCATCATTACCCGCAGTGCTCGGGAAAAGCTCATTAGCAAATGAAAGATAATTGAGAGAAAACTCCTCAAGATGAATGGTGCAGCGAGGATTCTTTAGTTGATTATAATCGACGTGTCGCACCGATAGAGAGAGTTACAATCAGAGCAATGATAATCGTTTTCCAGTAGTTGCAGCTTACTATACATCGACAAAGTATATCAAATCAAAATTGTATCTGCAGTAAGTACTGACTGATTGTTCATCTATGCCAATTTGAAATCTTCACGTGAGCATTACAAAATATGCAACAGAAAGTTCAACTTTAGTCGGACACAATACCGTATGAAAATTAAATCCTCTCGCCGATTCTTGTCTCAACCCCTAACTCCTCTTCCTCTCATTCTCTTTCTCTCTCTTATTTTATTCATTTCTATAACAAATTTATCAGTTTCTTCCGCTCCCTATATCCTTTGATATATTTTCTTCTTTTTCCACCATATATTAGTAATCCTGGGAAATTGTTAGTGACATACTAAAAGTAATTGTCATGGAAATGTCGGTTTATTATATTCTTTGATTTGATTTATTGATGTCTAATTTCATAAAGAAAAAATGGCATATGCATGGAATCC